CATCTTCAGCTCTGCTTACATCTTTTGCAAGGCAGTCCAAAGTGTCTTTGAGTGGCTGCTTCTTTCCAGATTTGGCTGCTGCTTTGTAGACCTCCAGCAGTCTCAGAACCAGGCCATCAAGTCCGTCAAGAAAAGATTCCAGAAGGTCTTTGGTGACGATTCTTGTAAATTCAGCCCTAATTTGAGGTGACTGAATATAAAACTTGTCTCAATAGGACACAGTTAACTCAGTCTTAAATCACTAAATCTCCTGGTGGAACTAATTCAGTTGTGCGATTACCTGTCTCTCATGGAACAGAGCTGGCCATCGGGAGATGAGCTCTGTGATGTGTGGTTGATCTCCTATAATCTCAAAACAAAAAAGTATTTTAACATTTAAGATAATCAGTAACAGCAGTGTGGGGTAAGGATACATGAAAAAAAGGACACGGCTAATTACTGACAAGGAACAAGACTAATTACTGACCCACAGCCTTTACTGAAGCCGCTAACTCACCTGCAGTCAGCACGTCGATGCAAAACTTTGACCAAGCGCCACATATGTGCTTCTGAGGAAGTGTACAATACAAAAATCGTGGTAGCTGCTTGTATTTTCTCTTAAGAAAAGTTCTATAAGCTTAACCGAGTAGCATACTGCGTTTAGCTAGCTGCATTAACTAACTCCTGCCCTCGACAGTTAGCAAGCTGTTGTTTTATGTCCTGTGTTTAAACATGTAACAGAGACACGAACTTTTAGCTCTTAACATATTTTAAAAATGGATGGCATTACCAAAAAACGACAAATGCAGCTTACCTTACTTCTGTGGCTCCAGCTCGCTTCGCGTTTAGAAAAAATGCCCCGCCAAATTTGAACAGCCTGTGGGACTGATCCAGGTCTTGGAAAAAATGGTATTCATCCGCGACTTTGCTTTCGACGTCCTTAATCTGGTCAGGTGGTGTTCCTCTTCTTCATTTAATGTGCAATTCTAACTGGGATGGAGAACTTTATAAAGTCTTACTAAATCTTACATCATATTTAGTCCCTTATCAGATAAAGAGCGAATTTCCGGCACTATTTGGATCTCGCATTAATATTGCCAGTGGTGATCAGTTTTTATAAGATCCGGTTACCATTTTAAAACTCAGATTGTCGAGTTAAGTTCACACATTTAAATTTATGTTTCATTGAACTGACTCACATTCTTGAGTTGAAATGCCAATAACTCATGAAATTAAGTTGAAATTACATAACTCATTATGTTAATTGGAAGTAACTTATATAAAAACGTTATGTCAACTAATGGAGGGGATGACTTTTAACAGTGTAC